CTTAACTCGAAATTTTGAATTATCTTTCTCCAAATTTCGACTTAGTAACTCGAATTTTCGACTTAGCAACTCGAAATTATGAGAAAAATAACTTGAAATTTCAAGAAAATAACTCTTAATCTACATAATCTACGTGAATGACGTCATTTCTGTGTTACCCGGAAGCTGAAGCCCTCAGCTACAAATGCTACAGAAATGCTAACAGTATTACAGATACGGGTCATGAATTCACAAATTGCTGAGTATTTTAAGCGTGGCTTCAAAAATGAGGAGATTCTTGCGTTATTAGCTGAATCACATGCCATTACTATCAGCCTTCGTACACTTGAAAGGATTTTACACAACAACCGACTTTGGCGCAGAAAGAACAAAACAGAGGTGGAAGAAGTGGCAGCTTTTATACAAGCACAATTGGCAACCTCAGGACAGTGTCATGGGTATCGTTGGATGCACCAGAAGTGTTGGATGAATGGCACTGTTACTGACAGAGAAACCGTTTGTCTTCTGCTCCATTTATTTGATGGAGAAGATGTGGATTTGAGGTCACGTAGACGACTGCGGAGGCGAGTGTATCATAGCAGAGGCCCCAACTATGTATGGCATATCGACGTCTACGATAAGCTGAAGCCATTTGGGATTGCAATCAGTGGATGCATTGATGGCTTTTCAAGGAGTGTAATAAGGCTAGACGCTTACAAGACAAATAATGACCTGAGAGTAATTGCTGGCTACTTTATGGATGCCGTGATTCAACAAGGTGGTTACCCTGATCGAGTGAGATTAGAGCTAGGAACAGAAAACATCCATGAGGCTCACATGCAACGATTTTTGCACTTTACAGACAATGAACCAGAAAAAGAGCACGTCACGTACAGGAAATCAACGCATTGAAAGATGGTGGCTAATCTTACGAAGCCAGTGTATCCAGTACTGGATTGAACTATTTGATAAACTAAGAGAGGATGGCCACTTCTCAGACTCTTTCTTCGACAAATCATTGGTCTAGTTCTGTTTTCTTCACATTATACAGGTGAGTTTACATAGGTGATTGTGTAAATGACTTGTATTGTAACTGTTTAATTTGTAACAACTCACACGGCCTTTGCATGTTATAGAAACATCAGATATATTAAAGTACACATGAAAAGTAGAGTGCTTTTTAAAAAAAAACTTTTGTTAAAAAAAAAATTCCACATATATATCAAGGAACACAATTATACATTATAACACATTGATTATTTATATGTGTTTAGGCCTGTCTCTGTACTCGGTTAGCATTTTTGGTGGGTCAAAACTAAGTAAATAAGTATCTGTCTGTTCATGATATATATGTGTGTGTGTGTGTATATGTATATAGGTATGTGTATATATATATACAGATAGATATCATTAATGTAGCTCAAAGCTACATTAATGGTGTGTAAGCTAAGAAAATCAATGTAGAAGTTAGTTGTGCTTTTGTACATTAACATTTTCATATTGTATGCCTGAAAATGTTTCTTTTGTTCATTTTGTTTTCATCTAGGAAGAATTAAATGAAGTTGCTTTGGCCTGGAATGACCACAGAATGCGCCCAGTCCACAACTCCCGAAGTCCTCATGGCCGACCATCTTTTATGTATGCCCTCCCAGACATTTATGGCGCGAGGGACTGTCTCAAACATGTCAATATGGACAAAAGTTGAAGCCTGCCTTGAAGAATGCGTGTTCAAAGACTTTCCATGTGAAGAGGATGTCTTTCATCTCTGTGTAGAACTCATGTCAGAACATAACCTGGACTTCTCAGATGATGTGTTTCATACAGTGGATCTGTATGTAAAGCTAAGGCAGTTGATGCTTACTGAGTTGGAGCTTTTGCCTTAAAGGTTAGACATCGTTATGCATTTTTAATGCTGTATTTTCATATTTAAACTGTAAACTTTTATGAGTTATTAATTTTTGGATGGTTGTCGTTTTTGGGGCACACATACATGGGTTTTGAGGGCCTGAAAATGTATTTCACAAACAGGGCCAATTGAAAAAGGCTATAAAAATTGTATTTAATTTTTGGAGGGTTTTTTTTTTTTTTGGATGGTTTATTTCAATTAACAAACCAATTTTTTGTTTTAAAAGCCTTATTATTAAAACATATGTAAACATAATGTCTGTTAGACCTGCTATTTGGAGGATATGCAGCGCATGTCACCTTGGAATTATGATTTCAACTTTTTGTAAATATGCTTTTTCATCTTTCTTTTTATTTGAGTAATTATTGATGTTTTGAAATATCTGGTTATGTAGCAGTAAATTTTTTTTTTCACTGTCATTTTTTTCACTGCTGAGACTTTTTATATATACTGACTGTTTTCCTGATTATGGGCAGTATAATTATATATTTTTTAGCATATGGATAACCTAACTGAGTGAGATTTATGGACCTATGTTTTTTTTTTTTTTTCAGATTGCGCCTCAGAATAATAAAAACCCAGAAATTACCAAAATGAAAGATGTAATTTGTCTCATTGAACACTTTATTATAAAACACAGATCTTTTGCCATCATCTTATCTTAAAACAAAATAACTGTACTGTATTTACAGTAACACAAAAACCCTTAAAGTATTCTTATAAAAATCTAATTGCAAGCACAAGACTTGGAAAAAGTACGACAATACACTCAACAAAAATATGCAATATGTTTTGCAAAAATTCAATTATTATTAAAAATACAAAAAGAATGGGACAATAAAAAGAGATTGAGGATAATATGGCAAGATCTGATAACAATATCCTACAATTAAAGAATAAGAACGTGTGGTCTAAAACCACTATGAAGCAAATACATTAGGCTCAAACATGAAAACCGAAATATAGGAAAATATCTTTTAAATAACTACCCCATTGGCTATGCAGTTTTGAAAAAGGGGGCTATGATACACAAGGGTTTTTTTCCATTACAAAAATCAGGAAAAGCCAACCAAAAATCAACCTTCAGCTAAGCAATTGCTGATTTCACAGAAATCCAAAATAAAAGCATATAGGTGTGCCTTATGGCCATTCAATTTAGCAAAAGTCACCATAACCCAGATGGCTAAACAGAACTGTACAAACATAACTGTAATAAAATACAATGATATAGTAAAACCTGACTTGTAAACTGTAAAATGTGTGCACGATGATAAAACATGTAGGAGATATTGCATATATCTCCTACATGTACTATATACTACATATTGCAGGGGTCTCAATCTCTAATTTTCTGGTGAACCACTACAATACATGTCATCTTGTGACATTACATTAATAAAATTTGACAAATTAAAATTAACCTAATGCATTTTTTAAAGTTGATTTTGGATTCAAATAATAGAAAAATTGAATAAAAGGTGGGAAAACTGCTTTCATTGTTCACATGCACACATGCTGACTGAGGAAATGGGAATGCTTATAAATGGTCTCCAGACTGCCACTTTGAGACCTCTGCAGAAATGCATTTCACAAGTGTTTAGAAAAATATTGCCTCAGTTGTAATAGGAAAACACAGAAACACAAAGAAGTACCTCAAATTGCATTACAGTGGTATTTCACCAAAGACTTTTTCTTGGAACTCAGTTTTTAAACACCTGAAACCTTTGCTGTGACATTCACATGGGAACACTTTAGTTTTAGTTCACAACTCAAATATAATCTGTTGTAAAACAACAATGGCTTTTAAGCCATTGTCCGTGAATCAAACCTTTAGATAATGTCCATAACCCACACATTTGATTCCAACACACTGTTCATCTCCGATCTGAAGTCAGGATAGCTGTCATAATTTATCGACAGCTCCAGTACACACCCACATGTGTGTGCCACAGGTCGTCTCTGGAAACCTTTCAGTTCGTTAAACCCAATGATGATGTTCTTTCCCAGATGTAAATCTGAACCTGTGCAAAACCTGAGGAACAAACACAAATGTTCCTTCTCAGCATTCTTCACATATGTAGTTAGATATTTCTGAATCAGCTTCTGGTGAGCCGTCATTGTTTCAGGGAAAGTGAGACACTTGAGAACTTTTCTCACAGTTGGTTGGAGGGTTTCATAAACTGAAGATAGATCACAAAGGCTTTCCCATGCAGTGCTGAGTGTTCTTGCCCACTGTTCAATAACATAGTCAGGCTCTTGGACAAGTGTTTTGTGTGCAAGCTCCAATCCGGTTGTTCAGTGATGACGCGACGAATCCTACTTCCGGGTCTAAAGTAGTCTGCGTTTAATATGGCTTTTGTGTTGTTAACATGTTTAATGTTATGTATTTTCTTCTATTTGATCTCAAAAAGCTCCTAAAACAGTCAGTGATCACTGTTGACCTCCCTCGGCTTTTATTACCGCTAATCATTTATTTAAGCTCAGTTTTTAAAACCTTAGGATGTAACTACAGCCCAGCCCATGCAGCAGTATATGAATGACTAACCTCGTATTGTGGATGGATTATCTCAGTTGTTCTCCTGGCTGAAGTTTGGTCCTTTTACAGCATCCTGCCATGCGATTACATTTGTTCCTGACCACCGAGAACACTCACGTTAACTTTTATCGAGTGGGAAAAAAGTTAGCTTGTTTATATTATGCTAACATAGCTGTGTCGCTAGCGGTCACGTAGCACATCATTATATACCAGCTAGCCCAACTTCAGTAACCCTACAAACGTCACTGCTGTTTAGTTTTCTGTCTTCATTTATGCTGGAAGTGATAACAGAGCTGTACGTTTTAATTTGTTTCCAAAACCCCGCAGTCAGGACATGCTATATTGTATTTAGATAGAAGCTAGCGAGCTAACTCCCTGCTAACTTCTAACTCCGTTAAATGTCATAAATTCCGTTTTCATGGATGCCTGGATGTTAAACTCAATTGTTACACCTGGTAGAGCAGAACGCTGATCATTTTATTAAAGATGAAAGACTTTAGACAGTTTTTCAACTCTCAGTAATGCCATAGTGATCGTTTGACCTGCAGCGGAGTTTAGACCCAGACGCGGCTAGTGACGTCAGACTGAACAACCGGATAGGACTTCAGTGGCATTGCAGGCTGTTGGTATCTTTCTGCAGCTGTGGTTATCAAGTATGTCTATAAGTTCTTCTTGGTCCACGGTGCTAAAGTCTGATCGCCACGCCTCTAACACTGTACGCTCAGAGTCAGGCATGAACTTAAGGAAATTCTCCACAATATCACTCTTTACATATCCAAAGGCAGCTTGTTCCAGAATGGCAGGTGCAATTTTCACAGGCAGATATTTCTCTCTAACCCATCCAAATGCAATGATTCTGCCCACACTCTCCCACTCCGGTTGCCCAAGATCATGCCTTAAGAAGGGCACTTTGTAAACGTTTCCAGTGGTGCACTGGTCATAGAATTCTTTCCAGAATTCTGAAAGACAATCTCTCACAACTCCCCCATCGTCATGGGCCATTTCAGGTGTTCCATCAGGCAGTAAGACCTGGATTTTGATGTCGACATCTTCAAGGTCCTTATCACTAAAATGTGAAATGAGCTCTGACATTACCTGCCCTCTGTGGACCACCACTACTCTCCTCACTCTCTCACTGGATGGACCAGGTTGTGGAGAAAAAATCAGGGTGTCATCCAAATTTATTGGCTCACTGTCAGAAAAGGGGCCAACAAAAATAATGTCACTGCTGTGAGAAGTGTTAGCGCTTAGAGACTGCGTGGAAGATTGTGGAAGGTTATCGTTTGGAGTGTCTTCAATGTATGTCACATCATGGCTGATTGTTTCAAATGGAGCAGATGTTTGGACTGTAGTGACAGTAAAAGAAGAGGTTTGGTTTTGAGGACTCGCTTCAATTTCTGAAGATGGATGCAAACCTGGGTTGGAGCTCTGAAGGCTGTCATTTTGTTTTTTCTTTGTGGTGAGGTAGAACCTGAGGATATTAAGTTTTGTGACATGATAAAGTTCTCCTACTGTCAATGCATCATCGACTATCATCTCTTGATAATCCTTCAGATCACAGTCAAAATCTGTTAAGGGCCCCTGAATGTTTCCTCCATCTGGAAAGAACAGGCCTGTTGCAACCTGTAATATGTCCCTTTTCTTGGCATCCTTGCAAATGTCTATTTTTCTTGTTCCTCCTCCTCGTCTAGCTCTAACCTGCTTGAAAACCTCAGTGTCTTCATCATAATGCATCCATCCTATTTCTATTTTTCTATTTCTCTTCAGAGCATTTCTTTTATGGGTTGTTTGGGAATGTTCTTCTTGCCGTGTGCTACTGCCATCCTCTTCAGATAATTTTCTTTTGGACAGTTTGGATTTCAGCCGTTCAAAAAGCGCTGACTTGCGGCTGCTGCCCCTCCGTCTGCAAAATCCAAATACTGCTAGACGATCACCGTATGATGGCAAATAAGTCTTCAGCTCCTCATCTGTCATTAGACTTATGACACTGGCATCAATCTAAAGATGGAAAAATAATTTAATTTATTGAAACAACCAGCCTTGAAAATACAATCCTATTTTTAACTTAAGAACAATGAGGAAAAGTTGCATTTCAACCAGTATCTTGTTGGAATTAAGTACCTTCTCATTCTCCAAGGTCTGTATAATTTCCTCAGAGACTTCTCTTTGTTTCAAGAATTCAGTCAAGTCTCCCATGCTGTAAGGAAGGATGTAAATTAAAATTACAAAATTAAAATAAAGCCACCATATTATCATCAAAGTATCTGTGCCTACCTACATTATGAGCTCTGACTATGGTGGAGAAGTGGGAACTGCATTTTTAAGTGTCCATTTGCACTGTAACTACAATCAGCATCACAATACAGTCAATCCCACATTTTCTCAGTTGTCTGGTTACAGTTTTATTGGTTTTGTTCCTTATTTATATAGTTGTCAGTCATATTCCCTGTTTTGGGTGATTTGTGATTTTGTTTTATACAGTGCTGTACACTTATTACGCATGCTTTCAGCAAAACGTCTGTTTCATCAGACGTAACAGGTGTCATTAGCGTGTAACAGAAACCTTATAGGTACCTTTGGTTAACCCTCACGTTGCATTCTATTCAACTTTGTATGTAACAATCGCTGTCACACTGTTTTTATATACCTTTTATCCAGTTATCATTTGTAGGAAGGCATTCAAAACTGAAGAACCTGGCGCCATTTGTTGTTAATACAGTAGCTCACGACACGATCCAGTTTTGAGTGCGCACCCCTTTGCGCCATATCCTTCCGGGTAACAAGGAAATGACATCAGCCACGTAGATTTCTTATTGGCAGCGCTAACTCGAAATTTTGAGTTATTTTCTCAAAATTTTGAGTTAATAACTCAAAATTTCGAGTTATTTTTCTCAAAATTTCGAGTTAATAACTCAAAATTTCGAGTTAATAAGTCCGAATTTTGAGAAATAACTCGAAATTTCGAGAAAATAACTCAAAATTTCGAGTCATGGATCTTTTTTTTTTTTTTTTTTTTTTGGGCGGAAACGGGCTTCCATAGTGTCGCTAGCGATCAGTAGCACATCATTATATACCAGCTAGTCCAACTTCAGTAACCCTACAAACGTCACTGCTATTTTGTTTTCTGTCTTCATTTATGTTGGAAGTGATAGCAGAGCTGTACGTACATTTTTTCTGAAATCTCTCAGTCAGAACATGGCATATCATGTTTAGGTGGAAACTAGCGAGCTAACTTCCTGCTAACTTCTAACTCCGTTAAATTTAATAAATTCTGTTTTCATGGATGCCTGGATGTTAAACTTAATTGTTACACCTGGTAAAGCAGCAACTGATCATTTTATTAAAGATGAAAGAATTTAGACAGTTTTTAACTCTCAGTGATGCTGCAGTGTTCGTTTGACTTTGGGACATTAAACAGAGTTTTGGAACCAGATTACTCCACGCGGCTCCTGACTACGGTAGCTGTAATGCTCGGCAATCCATCAAGCTGCGGCTTCGTAGCTTACCAAAGTCGTACTAAAACATTTTTTGACAGATTTTTGAGTCCCGTGTACCACATAAAATCGATTCGAGGTCAGTATGCACAACCAGGATTCATACATAAGGTGCACTGGATTATAAGGCGCACTGTCGAGTTTTGAGAAAATGAAAGGATTTTAAGTGCGCCTTATAGTGTGGAAAATACGGCATATTGAGTAGTAAGGACTTGAAAGGACAACATAACTTAAACTTTGGCGAAATTCACATTTAGAAAGGCTGAGAGCCATTTGGCCAACAGAAGACTCCCTTCAAGTTGGCAGCCTGGTCTATCCACTTACTAGAGTGCATCTTTAAATCAGTAAGGTACCCAACAGTTTTAGCTAAAGTACATCGGTGTGTATTGTATAAAACGTTCTGGCATAAAAATCAAAGAAAAAAAACAAAGGTGTCTGAAACTCTGAGGTCAACAGGACTTGCCAATATCCTTTTAACGTGTCAAGTTTGGTTACAAAAATTGCTGAACAAATGCTGTCAATGCAGTGTGAGGTAAAGGAAAAGAGTCAGAACACAGAGCAGACTGGTTCAGCTTCCCCACTATCCGATAAATGAGGATAAATGATCTCTACAGAAGTGGGTCATATTTTAAACATGAACATAAGAAGTGTTTCAGAGTACAGCCATAGGCATTAATCATGCCATAATCAACAGATCTGCTGAGTGCCAATACAAGCGTGTGCCACTATTTGACATAATGTGCTCCAGTGATCACCATGTTGCTTATCTTGGAAAACTAGTTACACAACAGCGAATCACCATTCACAAAGTAAAACTCTACATGTCTTGATGTATGTTCATTCATCAAAGTAAGTAAATCCCCAAAGGTTATTTCTGTTCATCTGGAACTACGTCCAGATGAAGCTACGTCCAGATGGACAGAATCAAACTTTGGGGAACTCTCTACATGATGGTGGTTGTAGTTCTCAGCACACCTACCAACTGAAAAAGAAAGAAAACAAGATTTAGGTGAGAGCTTATTTTTCTGGGCTAGGTTAATTGTATTCAATTGGAAAGAATAAGGGTTCGACTAGATCAACCATTTGCTTTTGTTTTTATGGGCTGGAGCTCTATTTAGCACACTGACAATAAATATATCACGGTAGCACAGGAGAAGACACAGGAATTTCAGATGCAAGAATCTGGTGCAAGATAAGAGGATGCAAGAGGGCTACCTGCTCATACACGTCTGGCAGGTACTGTCTGTGTGTTGTCTTTATCATCTAGGCTTTCTCAGCCACCTAAATCTATATCTCACTTTACCCTGTGAAACTGTGTTATAATATTACTCATTGCTATGATAATCTTGCTGTCAGTAAGACAGTTTTGTATAACTAAATGTCTACTTGGCCTGGGAAAGCCAGCAACTCTATCACATGTCCTTCAAGAACACCCAATGATCATTACCCTTTCTAGTAAAATATTAAATATCTGGTCAAATATTTCTAATGAAATATTTTACTTTATTTTATATTGCATATATCATAAACCTTCATGATTTTTTTTGACTACTAAAAACAAACTTTTAACCACTGTGATTTAAATGACAAAGTAATCATTATGGGTGACTTTAATATTAACTGGAATGTAAAGAATGAATTAATTCAAACAGATCACTGACTGTTTTAATTGATACAATAGCCTACTAGAACAATGTATAGAATAACATTGAATAATGTACCATGTCCCAAAGAGCCAGCAGCAAAATTTGAAATAGCTCTAGGAGGGACTGATTGGAGTGAAGAGATTACAAATGGGCACACAGACAGTGGGTGTGATTTATTTCTTGCAAAAATTAATGAACTGGTGGCGTCATTCATTAGGAGGAGGAATCAGTATAAAATAAATGGAAATACTCTGCCCTTGCTGAATGATGAATGCAGGAATTTGATGAAAGATAGGGATGGTCAGCTTTAAAAAATGCTTGAAGTCTAGTCTTGTCACAGACTGGGAAAAAATTCCCATTTATGGGATTTAAGTAAGACCGTACAAAAGGCTAAAGAAATATTATTATTATTATTATTATTATTATTATTATTATTATTATTATTATTATTATTAAGTATTTATTCAGAAAATTCAAGGGAGGAGAATTAAAAACAAAAATGACATTCTGTCAAAATATTATAATAAACTACTCTCCAGACCACAAAATAATAACAAAGAATTAACAGTTCATTAATGAAAATACAAACCTCCATAGCTACTAAACTGACTTTTTATTGACTCCTGATCATGAAATCCCTTGGCTTTTTACTCCTCCTCTTTAAAATAAAATACATTTCACAATAAGGAGTTTTCAGTATTATTAATTCACAAAAAAACACAAAAAAGTTAGCAGAAAAATGGTTGGCCATGGGGGCATGTCCCAATTTGAACTTCCAGGCCATATTCGGCACAGATGTTCCTGTATACTATGCTTGCCACTTGGTTATGACGTTTCATGTATGCCCCACATGCTAGCATCTTGGACCCTGCTGTTATGTGCTGGATTGCCTGCACCTGAGGTCTTGCCTGAATTTTGTTTTCCCTAGTTCTTTGAGTTTGCATATAATAATTTAAATTGTAGAGTGTTGTAGTTGTCTGTTGTAGTGTGGTAGCTTATTTTTCTTTTTAGTGCATCATTTGCCAGCCATCATCAGTTTTTTATTTGTTCTGACAAAAGAGAATACATCATAAACTAAACGAACTGTATCTAGATCTATTTTTCTTTCTTTTTAAGCTAGTTAATGATGTTTGGTTTGTTTTTACAGGAATGCAGGCAAACTACAAAACCTTGGAGAAAATTCTAATTAATACAATGCAGACAGGTCTGTGCTAAATACAACTTATTATCAAAGGACTGCAAAAAAAAAAAGAGAGAGAGAGAGAGACAAACCACAGGAAGCCAGGTGAAATATTGCTATTTTTTTTCTTTTGCCATACAGAAGAAATACTTTAACAAAACTTTCTTTTCTCCCTTTCTTTACCTAATCATACATGTAAATGTATTTACATAGTCCTTTTTCTGATTTGGATTGTTTCAAGATTGCAGTTCACTCCTTAACTTGCAGTTTCTTTCCAGGTCTGCCAGGAATACTCGATGGTTCAGTTTTAGACCTCAGTTTCAGTGGTTGAACTTGGGCTTTCACCACCATATTATAAATTTTCATTATTATGCTAACAACACAGCTACGCATCCCTATAAAACCTCAAAGCTCGTGCAAGCCCTGCAACTGCTCTTTAGATAAAAAAGCAATGGATGTCATGAGTTTTTGGCAACTATATGAAACCAAATTTAAAAAAAAAGTTCCTTTTGAAGATCCACCAACACCATATAATTGATTTGGCACAAATATCTATCTGCCAAAGCAAAGCGAGTAGCAATTAATGTAGGTGTAATTTTTGACAGATATTTGGGCTTTGATGTTTCAGGGTGCTCCATGCAGTTTCTTTTAACTGGGAAATGTTCACATGGTGTTTCTCATCCAAAATAATCTGAAAAAGGTCAATTAGGCTTTTATTTCCTCTCTTATTTGACTACAACTCCTACTTGTGGCTCAGACAAAAGTCGCACATGCTGTAGTGGCAGAACAACATCGAATTCTATTACAGTTCCTTTTATTTACATATAGTTTACAGTTTTGTGTGTGTGTTTGTGTGTGGTAGCAGTTTTAAAGTTGACATTAGTTACAAACCCTGAAAGCAAAGGAAATGTACAGAATGAAATGTGTATATTGTCTTTTGTGGTTTGGACGGTGCTTTGTCAAGTCTGGGAAAATAAACCTGGAGTTATCTGAGCTTTGGCTCACAGACTTTAAAAGATCAATCATCAAGTACATGAATAAAGCAAGAAACTAATGAGTCACTATTAACAAACCTGCCAGTTTAAAATCATATACTATCTTTAAGTAATTTTAAATTACATAAATGTGCACTTAAAAACAAACAAATAAACAAACAAACAGTTTAATGATTGAACACATTTCATTGCAAAACAAAACAAATAGCCACAAAAACTAGATTAGGCAGGCAACTGAATTGTTTTCTGTTGCTCTCCCTTGTCATACTACCACACACAGTCTGTGATGACATGCAATTGTTCTTTTTACTATATGCAGATGTGAAATATATCATCAATTTGGGTTCTGCCAGTTTGGACTGTTAATGCAATTTAAAACTGATTCTTTCCCATAGAGTCATGGGGCCAGACTGCACAACCCTTCAGCTTTGCTGCTTTTTGTTTTAATAACATCAAATGATTTATAAAACACTAAATTATACTGTCAGTGTAAAATGAACTGTTTGATGACAGAAGCCACTTGAGGAAAAAGG